AAATATGATTTTAAATTTTTATTTTTTCAAGAATTAATGAAATGATAGTTGTATTTACACTCACATATATACATAAATGTTATTATATACAGTATATATCTGAGTATTCTCAGAAATTAAAAAATTATTAAATTTTTATACTTTGCTACGACTAGTCATCACTTTATAAAATTTTGTCTTTTAGAAAAATGTAAAAACCATCTCCTGTTTAGCGATAATCTCACATTTTTTTCATACACTAAATTCAATTATTTCAAATTATTAGCGACTCACCTGCCATAGGTGAAATAATCTTGGCAAATTGTATATGTTATTAGATAAAACATCGCCACTAAGAATATATTATATATGGTTTGTATGTGCACATCCTTTAAAAGTTCCGTCATATACGAATCGGATTGTTTGAATACTTTTTCATGTAACGGTTTTGGTTTTGACACATTAGAAAGCGTTACATTCTTATTTTCGTCTATCGGGCTGGGGTTTTTTATGGCTATCATCGTGTCCGCATTACTCTGATTCGCTGGAGGAACCATGTTTTTAATTTAGACTGTGATTTGAAGCGCTAAAATGTCGGCTGCAATAGGCGTTTGAGCGCGTATATAATAATAAACAACTATAGTAGCCGCTTTTGTTACTAAACCACTCTAATTAATTGAATTCAACTAACTAACTAAAATGTGTATTAAGCGGGAGATTTAGAGAGTGTAACATAAGTTGTTTTTTATATTTCAATATATACAGGGTGAACGGAAAATAATGTGAATTTTTATCGTGCTGGTTGTGTTGATATGGAAATAACGGTTTTATCTAAAAGTATGTATATAATTATTATTATTCCAATATTAAATACTTAAATATTATAATAATAAAAATCTTTAAAATAATTCATTTCATCCACATCCTTCTTGGTTTCATGGATTTATTTTTCCTAAAAATATAAGCTAAGGATGATAGAGTGCCTTTATGGATATTTTAAATGGTTCAAGTACAGTTATGCAATATAGTAATTAATTCTCGTACACAATTTTATTATGCTGCTGCCTTGATACAAATTATTTTATCATGCAATCTAATTAGATAGTGATAAGCAACAACAGGACGCGTTGCCAACTTTGATCATATTGGCAGGCAAGAAATTCTTGTAGTTTTAAATTTAAAGTAATTAGTATAGTTAAAATTGAACATGTCATTAACAACAAATATCTTTAAGTTGTTTTCTATTTCTAAATATATTTATATTTTTAAACTTAAAAAAGTTTCCTGCAATAATTGTAAATAATGTGTGTGTTGGACTGTCAACCCTACACACAAGAGCAATAGTGATTGGCAACGCTGCGAAAGTTCTACTGTCAAACCATTTAGTGACGTGTATTGTGAGTTTGGAAAAATTTTATAAAACTGTGAAATTCTAAATTGAATTTCACGTCAATGGCTTTTTAAAGCCAGTGATAAAATCAATTCACGTTAACGCATGTTGAATGTAATAATTCTTTAAATAATTAAACTTTTACAACAAATTTCCTTTTACATATTGTGTTGGCTAAAACACGAGTTGGGTGAAAAAAATTTACAGGCGAACGTCACTTAATCAAAAAAAGCGAATAAGAACTTAAAAGCATAGGGTGCAAGGAGGTTTACGGGTTGCGCTCCGTTTGCAGTGGTGGTTGTGCGGCAGTATAAGAAAGTGTAAGGCGAGACTAAGGAAAATGAGGAAATAGAACGTGAGCATAAATTACAGATCGAGGGGCCGAAGGGGTTACATTTTTGTGAATACGCGCTGTTTAAGTGCAAACGCGACGACTGGCCGACGTTGGATATCTGGTGCACTTTTACTTGAATTTTTGGTTTATCTTTATATTTTAGTTTATCTACACATATTTTCAAAAAAAGTTTATAGTGTTTGGCACAAACAAGTTAGCTTAATCAAGTGACGGCAATAATCGAAATACAATTATTAACAGCACCTGTGCCAGATACTGGTAGCAGACGTTAAAAAACTACAGCAATGATGGATGAGGACACAAGTACTTCGTCTGGAGGTGGTGTGAAGCTATTCTTCGTACGCCTGTCACAAGTAAATTTCAAATAAAAAGTTGTTGAATACTTTTTAATAATAAATTTTTGTATAGATGTACCAATCGACGCTGGATCGCTGGACACCGCATACTAGAATGCGATGGGCGGGTGCAATTGTGATTTTATTGCTCTTCCTGCTACGCATTTTCATCTACCAAGGCTGGTATATAGTGTGCTATGCGCTGGGAATATATCATTTAAATTTGTTTATTGCATTTCTAACACCAAAAATCGACCCGGAATTCGATCCATACGAAAATGATGGTAAGTGCAATTGTTAATTAATAGAAACAATTTAAAACATTTTTTCAATTTTTTACACCATGAACTACAGTAACTGTAATATTGTAATAGTTCTTGCGGTCGTTTGACAGCATTGCAACGTTAGTTTTTCTTTAAAAGAATGCAATAAGTTAATAAGGGGGATGGTAATTTTCGAAGAACTTTCTTCATAAGTGACAGCTTATTGATTTTTTTTGTTGCTTCATCGTGCTTTGGCATGCATTACTAAGTCATATGTTAGTCTTAAAACATTTTTATTTTTTGAAGATATAATTCAATAATATTTAAATTGATACAACAGGTTGCAAAGAAAAATATAATAAAAATAAAAGTGTAAATATTTGGAAAGCCGTAAAATAATAAGATTTCTTCTGAAATAAATCTGTCTTAAGTAAACTGCTCGAATTTTTTGTGTTTTGCGTTTCTTTCAGAAGATGGTCCCAATTTGCCAACACGCAGTAACGAAGAGTTCCGGCCGTTCATACGACGTCTACCGGAATTCAAATTTTGGCTGTCGATCACGAAAAGTACAATCATCGGTCTGATATGTACATTCTTTGACTTCTTCAATGTGCCTGTTTTCTGGCCTATACTCGTCATGTACTTCATTACACTCTTCTGCATAACAATGAAGCGGCAAATTAAGGTAGGTTTACACTAATCACTTGCATGCATATAAATATTCATATTGTTATTGTTATTGTTTTATCTTTTTGCATTTTGCAGCATATGATTAAGTACAAGTATTTGCCATTTACACGGAACAAGCCGCGCTATCAACGTGTTGGTGAGTCACAGGCAACGACAAAGTGACAATTAGCCGCACAGACACTGCAAAAAACAAACGACAACCAATCGACAACGGGTATTACGTCGATACACGAGCAAAGAACAACAACAACAACAACAGCAACAGTAGCAGCAGCAGCAGCAGCAGCAAGTACAACGATTGCCGCAACGGCAACAACAGCAACATCGTTACCGGCTGCACCATTGACAGCTGCGACTACGTTAGCAACAACAAACATAGCAAAACCACCGCAAATTATAACTATTGAGTAAATTCAACTAAAGTACACACTAACATAAACTACAACTATAAACATGAACACTAACAAAAACAAACTATCAACAAAACAAAAACAAAAGGAGAACTAAACATTTACAGAAACATTTTAAAAATCATGCAAAGTCAGCTAGCTATCAGTATTTCATTTAATTTCAACACCTGAGAAGATAATATTCTCCGTCGCCATAATTCAACACAAATTCACACACAGTTTTAATATAAATTGGATTTTTACAATTTCTTGAAATTCTTACTAATTTGCGCGTGCCAAGTGCATTATTTAACATTTCATTTGCTTGACATTTTGTTGTTAGCGTTTGCTTAAGTTTATAAAAAAACAAAATACTTGTTGTTCTTAGCGGCATAAACGTTGTAAAATCCAACTAATTTTTCTAACCGGCTATGATTTTACGCTAGTTCAGTTAGTTGGCTGGGTTCTACCACGTTAATGCTTATTGTCGTGCAGTGTCCTGTGCAAAAAAATATAACTTTTAGTGGCATTTGTCCATCTTTGTCTTATAACTAAGATTATCTTTGCTTCAATATTTACAACTTAAAAACTTTTTATTTGTATGCAATGTTAATTATTATTACTATTATTATTATTATTTTTTTTTTTAGTTTAATTTGAGCGTGTCAGTGGCCGAGTCACATAAATCAATCATACAAAGCACATTGTAACTGTAACGTTTGTATGTAAATAGCGTGCAATAAAACATACAAAAAATTGTCAAACGACGTGTCGTTGTAGTGGCAACATCCATCATTTCATAGCTATATGTTACCGGAGTGCACTATAATACTACTTTGGCTTAAAGCGCTTGAATTGAATTTTGGTTTAAAGTAATATATATTTATATATTAATCATTATTATTAATTATGCTTAGTAATTTTATGTGTACACCTGTATTGAATTTGTTCCAAACCTAAATATACACATTCTAACGAAGTGTGCAACACCTTCTAGAAAACTAAGTACATGAATGGATGCTATTAATTTAGTTTACCCATAAATGCTGTTGCCTAAATGGTAGCAGCTAATTAGTTAAACAACAAAAACAACTACAAAATTTTAAAAATTTTCAAAACTCGCATATGCACGTTAATTTTGTGTTTTAGTTTTGTATACAAAAAAGCTTTCCCCAACTTCAATTTATAGTAATATTATAATTGCGTAAAATATAATTTTTCTGTTAACAATACAACACTAATTAGCAGTTATATGCGTTAGATAACATTTGTATATAGCGTCTTTTCCACACAGCAAGTCTTCATTTCCATTTACATTTTGAAATATTCTTGAAAAGTTCACAAATATGTAGGTTATGCGCCAATGTTGACGAATTGTTGATTGTAAACCACAAAAGGAATGAAATACATACCTACATACATATATACTAAGCGCATGTGTGAGTTGCGAAGTTGAAACTGGGTACAGTGTACGATTGTAATAAATAACAATACCAAATCATTTGAATAAAATACAAATAAAATAACTTAAGTCGAAAAAGCTGTTCTTTTTTTCCCAAATATTTCGTGAAAGTAAAAGAAAACAAGTAAGGAACGGAGTAGCCGAGTGACTTCAGAGAAATCGCCATCAAACTTAAATACAATCAAGATCAGTGTAAGGTCTTTGGAATAACTGGACACGATTGGTACGTGATGGCAAGATTGCAGTCTTCAAATATAGAGGATATAGGATCGTGCACTGGAAGTTCTTCTTATTGAATTTCTTACGCAAAACAATTTTTAAAGACTCTTACATCGCCTCTGAGGGACCTAAAGAGTCAACTCGATACGCAGATGTTCTCGTATTCTACACCCTGGCAGAAGAAATCAGCTACAGAGAGTCAACTGATTTCTTCAATAACTTCCTGCCTATATATCATTGTGTAGTACCAACAACCAAGAGCAGACTTAGAGCTCGGAATTGTAGATTTTTATTGAACATTTTAGAAAGCTCAATAGAAATACTGGCTCAGATTTGACCTTTTTACCCAACCAACTGAAATATAGAACAGCTTTTCACCGGTCAAAATCCGGGTACATTCCGGCATCTTAGATCGGGCTGTTTTCCGATTTGCAATCTAGCCCAGTTTACGTAGTGTGTTGTATTATATGGAGGAGGGTGAGTTGGAAACATCCAACATTCTTCTCTATTGCTTAACCTTTGCAAGACTGCGGCTACAACATCTCGGTAGTCGTACATTCGGCAAACCAGAAGCATAGCCGAAACTGATATTAGCCATCTCAACAAATTTGTGATAGGCTCAAAGCGCGTTGAATACTTTCAGAGCTTGTCAAGCTCTTTGTACTCACGTAGTTTGGTTTCTCTTTTTTTCTGCAAATGCGACTCGCTTCCTTCTTCAATGCTCGGTAACTATTCCATCGTGTTGTGGCGGATTGTAACCGTCCGAGGTAGGCAGTCTGCTTTCTCTCCGCTGCGACACGGCACTCCTCGTCATACTAGCTATTCTTTCGCCTTTTTTTTTGCAGCTGTTCGTAAGGTGCTTGAAAATCTGTGCCATTGTTCTCTTCTACCGATCTTCTGATGACTGCTCTCAGAGAGCAGGAGTGCAGGTCGAGTAGAAAATCGTTCGGCTGTCTATTATGATTGCAGTTTGCCCATCCTTACGTTAAAGTCGCCAAGCCATTTTGACACCGTGGCGGGGGCAGTCTGTAAGACACATTGTACTTCTTTTCTGACGGTGCGTGGGTAGTAAATGCCACAAGGACCTACTCGCCTCAGTCATTGTCTCGTCCATCGCATTTCTTGGACGGCGGTGATGTCAGCCTTTACTCTGATGAAGGCATCAACCAGCTGTGCAGCGTCACATTACCTATTTAAGGATCGGACATTCCAGGTGCTTACCCTTAAATCATAATCTTTAACACGTTCGAAGGTGTCGTCATCAGAAGGGGGGTCTCTAATCCGAGGCTGTTTTCATCTTTTCATTGGTAGTATTTTTTATGTGACGGGTTCCAAACACGACATACAATCCTGGAGAGGAATGTTTCGCCTTCTCACTTTAGCTCGCCTTCAAACGGATGTTTTTTTTTTTGGCTACCCAGAGGATATTTGGTCTAATGCCGGAAGTCATGAGTAAAAGCCATATGTAAAGGAATCGTTTCAGGCCACTCCTAAGTGAATGGCGCTCAGAGAGTATGCCTCACTTTCGTCAACTTCTACACATGGCTCCATCATCTTTTACTCGTATAGTCACTGTGAAAATTTGTGCAAAGTACATTCTAACTAGTATTCGAAAGTCGGAATGCTCGGTGATTTGCTAACCAGAGCTTCATTGAGTGCTTTATAGAACTATTATCTCAAATGTGAGCTCTTTTGTACCGGTGAACCAACCAACTAATCAACAAATAATATATAGTATTTGGATTTTTTTTTTTTTTATTAATTTCTATTTTCAGCTTAAATTTTATTGATTGATTCCTTAAAGTACTATTGTTATATTACATACATGCATGGTTGCCACTGAATTTTTAATACTAATTCTTTGGATTGAGATTTCTAGTGCTAAATGTCAGTGTTTTTGTAAAATTATATAATATGTGACTTTAATTAAACTATGAGTAGGACTTATACGTAATGTTTTCAGTAATGCTGTTATAACGTATGACTCCTGTTTTAAGTACTATGTTTTTTTACTTAGAAAATATGACTACCTGTTACTAGTTGAGTTGTATAATGATTTTGTTAATATAATAGATTTTTTTTTTTAAATTATTATTTAAATTATTATATATATGTATATAAGATTTACTGCTATTTTTATGATATTTATTTTTGTGATATTTATTTTTTTATAGCGTAATTTAATAATACTAAATTAAAATAAATAAATAAATAAAATATGTTTTGAAACTCCGATATACTAAATAATACTACTGTGTAATATATCTTCATATATATTAAATATATATACTATATATATATATTTGTATAATGATCATGAACTAGCATAAATAGCAGTTAAGCAGCATGAGCACCACGATCGAGAGCGTTGCGGTTGCGGTTTGCAACGTTATCGCTGTGCCCTTGTTGAGTGGTGCGCTGTCCATTAGCATTTGGAATGGACAGATGCTGGGTTCCTTCACGTATGTTGTAAAGTTGGGATAGCGTATAATCTCCGACGGCTGTGTAAGAAATAAAAGTTGAATAATGGTAATTACTTTTTAAGAAATTATATGAAATTTTGATTTATGAGCAGATAAAGGATATTGGTTTCAGTCTTTTGCTGTTTCTTGTAGGCGAAAATTTGGCTTTAACGATTCGTAATGCCTATGACTTTTCATTAAAAAAAAAATTCTTTATTAGTCTTAGGCCGCCACTCTAAGTTGTTCAAGTGTGAGCCCTCTTATGATTAACCTCCAAACCTAAACTTAAGCCGAAAATAAACAAGTATCTGTTCTAGATCTTTTAATACAGGCCGAAAAGAAAAACGTACCTGTCCTACTAAGTTCTTTAATTTAGCCTTTCTTTTACTTTAATTTTAATATTTCTGAATTTTGTGGTTTCCGGATATGAGCCCACAGCTTTTCTTTAGCTGAGACCTTTTTTTCGAAGATTGAAATACATAAATTTAGTATACTATATACTAACTGTTTCAAAGTTACCCATTTTTTAAGGGAAATATCCTCTTCGGCACATTATTCTCTGGTGTTGATAACTGCTTTCAAAAATTAAAAAAAAAATATCATTTTCTTTTTTACAGAATTGAAGATAACCATCTTTTTGGATAACTGTTCAGTCATACATTTTCTCCGAGATCAATGATGTCTTAACTAAGAGCCTAAAAAGCAAGACGCTGCAGTTAAATATGCGCTAGAAAAGACATTAACTATTTTAATAAAAACCTCAGATCATTTGACCATTCTTTATTGTCTAGGAATTTATATATTATACATTGGTCATATTTGCTTTGTAGATAAAAAAAAAATGTCGCAATTATCTCGAAATCGCTGACGGAAAAACTATATTGCCGTGAACTTAGTTCATTTCCTCGAAACCAATGATTTGTAAGATAGATCTATGAAAATAATTGAGCCTATGCACTGCGGGGTATGGTTTATTGTGCTCTCTCCCATATCACACATGTTCACAAAGGTTCAGCGCTCTGTTCCATGTCGGAAACCGTTAGTTGGCGCAAGAGGCTATGACCATGCTGGACAAGTGCTTACTGAGCCTGCAGTGTGGGACGCAGCCCATGGTATGGTTATGGCCCCATCATCAGCAGAGTTAGACGGCTAGCTTGCCGGGCAGTTGACTTGAGGCGCTTAGCCTTGATAAGAGAAATATGTAGCAATTCGGAACTTCAGGTTTAGCAACTGATTCGTTATAGCGTTGTAATAATATATCTTTTAGATCGCCTAACATGTTTTAATAATTATGATATATATTTGCTTGTAAAAATGTTTTAAAATATTACAGTTACTTACTATTGAGAGCGACTCATTGGACACCCTACAGAACGTCATATGCTTGCCAGTAATCATGGTTTGCTCGACGCGCTTCGTAAAGAGCGGCTCAGACCAAGGTAACTGTTTCAAATGTGATAAAAATGTGCGATCATGGAACTCGACGGGATCGGAGATGATCAGTTTGTCTGTAAAAATAGTAAAATTAAATATTTTTTTGGTTATGAGAGAAAAATAGAAAAAAATAACTAAAAATAAAGGTAAAAGTTTTATTTACTGAATAATAAAATCTACTTTGAATGCCTGGAGACGGAATATTTTTTTTACCGTTATATGGATTTTGCATAAGAAATACATGTGTCCCGCGGTCTTTTTTGTTTCCTTACTTGAAAAGCCTATATTGGAAGTTTTTAAAGAACTGTAACGATTCATTTAATACGTTTTTTAAAATCAACTCAGTTATATATAAGTTTTAGGGATCACACAAATTTTTTCTTCAGTTTTTGAGCTTTCCGAATCAAATTTAATACGTAGGTGCATTTTGATCTTCTATTGAATATTTGTGGGAATCGGGCAGATTTGAGAACTATATCACATATCTCCCACACAACCGATTATTCAGATTTTTTAAATTTCGCCTTAAAAGTCGCTGCTTCGAAACCGATTTTAGACCCAAAATCCTTCAGACAAAGTTGTTCAGAATGATTTGTGGCAAATGTACCGCATATGCGATTTTATAAAAAAAAAAAAAAACTAACCGCACTAATGTGAATATCCTAATACGTTTATATACTCTTTAAACAATTTCAAAAAAATTTGATATAAAGCCTGTCGCTTCACTATGTTCATATTCTAATGCTTGTATTTCGATTTTTTAAAGAATTTCAAAAATTTTTGGAATAAAATATTATATCTGCTTCCTTTAACTCACTTAGCAATGATTCTTCATATAGTCGCTCTTCATCCGTCATATTTACGCGATTCTTTTTCGTTTTGGCATAAATCGTATTCGGTATATAGTCCAGGACATTGCTGCAATAAGAATGAAAGAAAAATAAACAACAATTACGTTCAATTTAATAAGCGTGGCAAAAATGTATGTTTTAACACTAATACGCTGTGCTAGCACCCACCCGTTGTAAAGGAATAAATTCTCCACATCTGTCATGTTGAGCGAGTAAAATTGATAAACGCCAAATGTTTCGAAAAACTCACGCACCGGCGTCATGCTGTAGCAGCCAGCTAGCTCAATGCGTGGATAGTAGGTGATAAAGGACAGACACATTTCCTGTTTGGTTGAGTAACCACCGAAGGTCGGATGCTTGCGATTCAGTGTCTGAGTTGGTGGTGAAATGCGAGAAAATCGTTAATAAATTATGCAATTTGTCTGCCTGTCTAGTGTGGTGCCGCCACACTTTGCTAAGGCGCGTGTCAATGCTGGTACTTACCTCATAGGCGCAATCGGTAATAATGTAATCGCCTGGTAATACAACGACTTCTTGTTCCAGCTGACGCACCTGCTGGAAGTTATAATCATAGTTGTCATCCTCGATAATGCGTTCCAGCTCCTTGCCATCGCGCACGTGACGCAGCGTCATTTTGCGGCCAGCATGATGTGAATGCAATGTGCCGGAGATGATTTTAATGCCGTCAGCAGGAAACATCTGCGCGCGCACAGTCAAGACAGAGATATATTGTATATGTATATAATAAATTGTTAAGCAATAATTTGCGGTTTCAATGAAGACAATTATGATTTTGCTTGTTGTTGTTTTGGTGGTAGCATAAATATCTCGGTACTCACCACATTTGAGCAGGATGGCCCACAGATGCCAATGTTGCGGTATAGCTTCTGACCGGGTGGTATGAGCTGTGTATCCGAAACGGAGACGCCAGAAATCATAATGCCCGCGTCGTTCGGTCGCAAACGACTCGTGTAATGTATGCGAAAGCCCGAGTGATCGACCACTGTAAAGGCGGATGGTGAAGTGTGCAATTTTATACGACTTCATTAAAATACCAAATTAACTTACTTTGCTGTGCGTGTGGATTGTCATAGTGTATCTCGAGCATATAATACTTAGCGCCTTGTTTGCCGCCCACTGGTATGCCGACATGCTGTGGCAAAAATTGTCCTGTGTACATGGGTGTGCGTAAGAAATGGCGTAAGAAATGTAAATATTTTTTTAAAGTCAACAAATAATTTACAGTGTGTCATATAAATTTAAAAAATTCGCAACATTGGCATGTAAATTAATTTGCATGAATATGGCGGGTTATGTACACTTGCTTGTACAGTTGTGTGTATATAAAAATATGTAGATATGTACATACCTGTCGAGCCAATAGACCACACCGCCACTGGTGTTATGCATGAGTCCCAATCATGTGGCGTCAATAAATTACTGTTGCATACCGCGCCGCTGCTCTTCACCCACACCTCCCACGAGTGTGGATCCGAGCCGGGATATGACTTGGTCGTGCATTCAAAGAGTGTCATATGGTGTACAAGCGGTTGATTGGTGTTGCTGTAATTGAAATTTAAATGAATGCAAATACAAGTGAAGCGTGGATAGCGAAAATTTACTAGCAATATGTGTGTTCTCAAATTACATAGCATACTTCTAGGCGTTTAAGCGACTTCAAATTCTGGAATTTCGTAAGCGCATAAAATTTATGTACCGAATGCTTTAATATTGCTGAAATGGCAGCTGCTTTTATAATAATTAGTATCTTCTATAACCCTGTAAGTGAATTAAATGGTACCAGGCTAAAAATAGGAGATAAGGCAAGCTAGTTGGGACTAATTTTAGACAGAAACCTTTCATGGAAAACAAACTTAGACGCTACGGTAATGAAAGCAGCTACCAGATTGAACTTAAATTCGCTCTTCGATATTGCCGTCCTGCTAGAAAAGAGTGGGAAAAGGCGAGGTTGATAAGGTCGCAAACAAAAAACATTTACCGATACTTGAATGGTAAGAACTGCTTTTTCCGCAAAGTTAAGTACCAAAATCGTCTTCCGTCTCTCAGACCAGGAAAGCGCTGCAGTTACCAGTACAGTTCCCAGCAACTAAAGAAGTTTTCTTGTTCTGAGGAAGAGCGTGCTCACAATAAAGGGTATATTAAAATACCTACAGACACCCAAGCGACTTAGAAATCACTAAAATCTCCCAGGGTTTCGTCAAAGATAGTGAAATAATACCTTGATCTCTCATTGCATCTAACATACTATTTCACGATACAATGGGTTCCGGAGTATAGTAATATGAAAAACGTGCAATTAGAGTATAAAAAAGATAATTTATATGACTCTGGTTATTCGAACAATATGTTATACATTTAACTGAAGATCGGGCAAGTCTAGCCCTGGTATAAGTGGTATGAATAGAATGTGGGCCGCCAAGCCCGACTGTTAAACCGGAACGGTCCCGGATTTTTATCCGGCCAAGGACTGTCAACTCGGCAGAATTCTGCCGTTACAACAACAACAACAACAACAACAACTATTAAATACTAAATAAATGACATAAGAACTCTAGTAGTAGTACTAAAAGGACGCTGTCTATTTGGTAGACTAGGAACATCATATAATTATCATTGTTGAAGCTGTCAGGGTAGAAAAGAGGAGACTATAAGGCATCATCTATGTGATTGCAATGTTTTGTATAGATCCATGGCTTTTTAATGACGTTTTGGTTATACATATTAAAATTTTTGCAATAAAGAACTTCATCAGAAGCAGAGCGTGGTTTAAAGAGGAGATAATCAAGTGTGAGAATATTAGTCTCATGAATTTCAGAGTATTAGATATATCGATCAGAAATTTTCCACACGTCCTTTCCTTCCCAAGAAAACTCTCATTTGTCGGAACCGCACTTATCCGACCACTAGATAGATAGATTGGCCTCAACACCCGCGCTGTTAGTTCTGCTTTCTACCGACTGGATATGGAAACGTAGCAAATGGGTCTGGCAGTGAACGAGGGCAATACGAAATATCTCTTGCCGTCAAACAAACAGTCGTCACACTCACGACTTGCCTCCCATATCACTGTTCACAGTCATAACTTCGAAGTCGTAGTTAATTTCGTTCATCTTGGAACCAGTATTAATAACAAAAACAATGACAGCCTCAAAATCCAACACAGAATAACTCTTGCCAACAGATACTACTTCGTACGGAGTAGGCAATTGAGAAGTAAAGTCCTTTCTCGATAAATAAGTCATTATTCCCGTCCTGCTATATGGTAAAGAGGATGGACGATGACAACATCTGATGAGTTGACGTTACAAGTTTTCGAGAGAAAGGTTCTGCGGAAGATTCTTTGTGCATTGGAACGATGAGCTGTACGAGATATACGGTGGCATTGATATAGTTCAGCGTATTAAGAGAGAGCCTAGGTCATGTCGTCCGAATGAATAAAATCATTCTAAGAGTATTTGACACGGTACCTGCTTAGGGATGCAGAGGAAGACCTCCATTCCGTTGGAAAGACTAGGTGAAGAAGGATCTGGCTCCACTTGGCATCTCCAATTGGTGCCAGACAGGGAAAAAGAAGAAATCATAAATTCATATGTAGAAGCATATTTATGTCCTAACCGAGATTCTGTAGCCACTATATTAATAGGTTACGGTTTCATAATTATTATCCAATTATGTCATTTTAAGTGTATGTAAACATGAGCCTTACGTTAACCATTTCAAACTCATTTTGACATTTCCAGTCACAGTCTGTGGTTGTCACTTGACAAAGAGGTTGAGTGACTTGCTGTGGTAATGCGAGCTAGTATATTAATATAAATTCTTAAGAATTTGCCACTTTTACCGGTGGTAAGTTTTAAAGGACCGTAAATGGCGTGGTTTTAAGGAACTTAGAAAAGTTTGTTTTGAAAATGGTTTAATGTTTTTTCGTGATTTCATTGCCGATATTATATGTCAAAATATTAATAATTAAAAGCTTTAAATATATTTATTTGATTCATTTTAAAGTATTACTATCTACTTAGATATCAGTCCTGCAACTAGTTAGCCGTAAACTGGACTTACATATGCACAGCATTCGCGGAAGATTCCAGCTGTAAATTCAATATTTTACTCATGGATTGCTTAGAAAATATGTACTTAAGTAGTCACTGGTTTGTGTAATAAAATGTCCTGCTGTGCGATTGCAAGCTGTGTCCTCAGTTGTGTGTTTGCAATTGATTGACATTTATGCATACACTTATGTATGTATGTATGCATAAATATGGTACACATATGAAACTGATTCGTGTGAATAAAATGAGTTTGTACAATGAAATTGATTGCCTTATACTTAAAATGATAAATTAAAAAAAAATGAATTTTAAAAAAAAAAAAATTTTTTGCAGCATATTTCGATACTCTACAGCTTGAAACCTTAAATAAATTGTAGTAAGTTGCCAAAAGTTAAATGTTTAAGTGAAAAAATATGATTAAAACCTTCAAAAATACATAGTGAGCACTTAGAAACTGCCCAAAATCGACTTAAGCTCTTAGTTATTTCTACAATTTATCTCGTTTGCTTATTTATACTCCAATCTAAATATTTTTTATTGTAATTGTGTCCGTCAAACATATGTTATTAGCTACATATTTGTTTACCTAACTGCATATTTCTTTGGTAAACAATGTCTGAACTCACCTCTCACGTGATAATAATGCTTCATAACCTATTATGTGATGCTTCTCGCTTAGCGTGGGCGCACGTATTATCTTGCACCAGTATAGTGTGTCCATGCTGGGCTCAATTGTGACCTAAGCAAAAAGATTATTTTGAGTTTCAATTTCAGTGGCTGGAGTATTCATAGTGTGTAAGAATGTTACGAAAAACTTTATGTATTTTTTTTGTTATAATATAAACATATACTTCATATATAGTGTAATATGAATCTTAAAATTTTCAAGTTTTTGAATTTTATAAATTTTTTTAATAACAAATTTTAATTTTAGTATTTTTATTTAACCATTAAAATATCATTTTTAGTTTGAGCAAGTTCGTTTACTTACATTCTGCACTGTAACATCCCATTTGTGTGTGTCAGTGTTAACTTCCTTACGAAACATTGGATCGAGCAAGTTGAGCGATTTGTAGCCGCGATTCTTGCCATGGCCCTTTAAGTCGCCATAAATAGGATCGGTTTCGCCGAATGTCCATAGCACTTTGACGGTGTCGACCTTTTCGAAAGTAAAAAATAAGTTTAATATAAATAAAAGGAATGAAAAAAAGGCAAGCTATTAATTAATACAATTTTGCTGCTTTGGAAAATTATTAATGATAACCGTTAATATATCCGGTATGTAACAAATGTTTAGATCACTAAAATGTAATGTTACTCGTTTTCTTGCATTTCTGAGTTTTAAAAAAAAAAAAACCATTTATACAAATAAAAGCCTTGGAAAATTTCTTAAACAGTATTAATAAAAAAATTTTTGTAAAAAACAGTTATATATCTGATATGTGACATATCTTGAGATTAACCGTTTCTTTTCGTTCACAATTTTGAAAAAAAAAAAAAACAATTATAGAATTAAAGGCTTTAAAAAATTGATAAAAAAGTAAGAGCTTTCAATTATCTCCGTTAATTTTTTTAAATTTTCAGCTGAATTTTATAATATTGTTCTCCCACCGCTTGTCCATAAAGAAAGTTGATTGCCTGACTTTTCCTTGTTAGTAAATTTTTTCCCAATACTCTCGCCGGCTAATAGTAAATTCCTATCATACGAAATATTCCCTCAACACGCAAGAAAAAAGACATTTCTACTACGACTAGTCTTTCTAGCTGGTTTTGACAATATCATGCATGTGATACCATATGGTTTAATTTCAAAATAAAAACTTTCTAAAAATTTCCAAAAAACTCTTGTCCAACTTAATGTTCACAAAACCAACATTTTTTGCTAGAACTGTAATTGCAACTCTGAACTAACGGCTATAAAATATTAACAATTAAAACGGTATTCAGTGAATGTTTAGTCCAGTGCCCGATTGGTTTCAAAATGAGTTGTTCGTATAATAATTAAATCTCCGTACATTTATTTCTAGCTATTAATTTAATTTTTCACGCAGTTTTAAAGTCCGTTGAAGACAGCAGCACAACCGTATTGCGTGCCTTATTGGCTCAGTATAAAAGTAATCCACAACAATACGACCTGGAGGAGACCGATATCTATGGCAATACGCCACTTTTGAAGGCCTGCTATTTGGGGCGACGTGATCATGTGGATTTGCTGCTAAAACGCGGTGCGAATTTGAAAGCAATTAATTATTTAGGTGTGTGCTTGAGCTGTAGTGGACACTATTATTTAGTAAAACATTAATGCTGCACTTTTACAGGCCAAAATGCGCTAACGCTGGCCACTTATTGCGGCAGTTTGGATGTTGTGCGTTTGCTCTTGCGATTTCGCTCCTATACGGATTTCAATAAATCCTCCATAGTACCGGCCTTATGTGTGGCCTGTCTGCGTCGAAATCAAACGCTCATCAACTATTTTAGACGTTTTCCAAGCTCGGAGGAAGAACTGACCACCGCACACGGTAGTTGAGAAAATATATATGTATGCATGTATTGATCTACTCATTATTGCACTTATCGTTGTTTGCTTCTAGGCATGACTCCAGCTCAGATTAGCGAGTGCGTGGAGGTCTGTGATAAAGTATACGGTAGGCAAAATAGTCAAGGCGCATCTAGCAGTGGCGCAGCTTATAGGATGCGTTAAAATTGTATTGCTTTAAAAATCCCAAAATAATAATTATTTAATTTACCAATATAAAGTATATATAATTCCTAACATATTGTTCTCTAAATACTAAGATTTTAAAATGTTTTACTTAATGTGTTTTTAAAAATCGTAGATTTGTTTTATTTTAATTTGTTTCGATTTATTTAGTTGTATTTAATATTGTCTTCAAATTTTGTATCGACATTTTTACAAGTGATTTCAATCAGATCAATGACAAACATGCGTGTTAAAGTTACTACTTAATTTATTTTCAGCTCTTTTGTGTTAATTTTTTCTCAAAACTAAAAAAAAAAAATGTTTTTGTGCAGAACTGAATCAATAACTAATAAATTAGATTTTATTGTCATTTTAAAATTTGTGAAAATCAATTATTTATGTTTTTATAATATTATGTAACGAATATTGTTTTTTATAAAATAAATAAAATTTATTTCTCACTTAATTTCTTCTACATGGTTTATTGGCTTAACATGTCTCAAAACTGCATTATATATATATATTTTTTACGATGATTTTGGTTATTATTCGAGAATATGTTTTTCATAATTTTCTAATTTTTTTTTTTTGATTTTGTTAATATTTCTATTGACTACTCACCCCTAATGGCAAATCGTAGGGATCGCAAGTCTCCAATTTACGTGAGAACTCCAGCCATGTATGTGTTCCGTTTTGCCCACCATCAATCACATTGTAGTTTTGCGTATCGTCTTGAATCGGGGCTGCGTTGGGATGCTTTGCAGAGCCATGACAGTCCTAAATAAATGAAAAAAAAATATATGAAAAATAATGAAAAGCAAAATAAATAAAAAATAAAATATAATAAAAATGGAATAAACTGAAATAAAATAATATAAAATAAATTTAAATAAAATATTATAAATTAAAATAAAATGAAATGAATTATAATTTGTTTATTGAAACCCTATGTTCCACCTAGGAACTGCAGGAAAATATATATATATATATATATAAAATAAAATTAATAAAAAAAAGTAAGGAAGTCCTAAGTTCGCGTGCACCCGAACATTTTATACTCTTGCAACTTGCAGGAATCAAACCGCGGGGTACACCATAAGGTGTAAAAAAAACATTATATGAAGTATACTATAGGAGTTGGTTGGAGTATCGACCCGATTTTGTCTATTAATTATTAACATGCCATATACTAAAAAATGTTCCTGAGATTTATTAAGGTACCTCACATACAATCTGCAATCATATGGAGTAAAGTCAGACAGATGTACAAAAGTTTTAAACTTCGAAAATTTTGAATTTCGAAAATTCTGAATTTCGAAAGATTTGAATTTCGAAAATTTAGAATTTCGAAAATTTTGATATTAGTTATATAGAGGCTAGCTCAAGTTTTCACCCAATTTTAGGCACATAGATACACTGTTTTAAGTAAAACACGTTCTTTCATTTTATAAATATATATATGTATGTATATGCGGTATAAAGTCATCCGGAAGTTCGAAAATCTGTATATTGGGTGTATGGGTGCTCAAGAAAGTATTGACCCGACTCAACACATTTTAATACACAGAGGTATTATTATCAGGAGAAAATTTTCTCAAAGTTTAATATTTATATCCCATAAACTCACCGATACTTTCGGTCAAAAGTGAACTATAGATACTGGAGCTCACATTTCTGATATTTGGGGGCTTGAAAAATTTTTGTTGAATTTGCACAGTTTTTGGTCATAAGGTGGCCTACATTAAAGGAATTATTAATGCAAATTTTAACCCGTTGTATCAATTTCTTCCTGCTTTGTGTACAGAAAAGTGAAAGAATCAAGTGGAATTTAAAAATGCGCTATATGGGAACTAGGCATAGTTGTAGTTCTATTTCTTTATTACTTTTCGCTCTGTAATATAAAAAGTAAGAAGAATATCAAAATTTTTAACCCGCATGTGCTTCTTGCCACTGCAATTTCCTATGCCAAATAAGAGTTCTATAACTTATTTTGGTGTTTAGTTAAGGCATTTTATAGTTTTTTGGTTAATGGCATTTTGTGGACGTGACACTTGCCCGATTACGCCCTTCTACGAATTCCGCCTTAAGGAATATTAGTACCAAGCTTCAAGATACCTTAACTTTTACTCAAGTTACAGCTTACACGTACGGATGGACAGACAGTCAGTCAACCGGTCAACCAAATTTCAACTTTTCTTGTCATCCTGATAATTTATATATGTATATATAACCCAATACGTATCTCGCTTAGTTTTAGCTGATACATTCAACAGTTAGGTGTTATCCTCTGTAGCAACATGTTGCTGGAGTATTAAAATGTTGCTGGTTCAAAATTTGTATTGTCTCAACAAGTTCGAAAAAATTAGTTTCTTCCTTTAAAAATACAGTGATAACTTACCAATACTGTAAGTTGTGGTATTATTTTAGGCAAATATCAGACTGAAAAACTATAGGTGGTTTAAGCATTGTGTTAGAGACCGTTTTTCTTATACTATTTACTATTGCACTTAAAGGTCAACACCTTTAAAGCATTAATCATTTAAACGAAATTTAAATGTAAAAGAAATTAATTGTTGTGCCATTAAACCCGTCAGTATTAATGGTTTTTACGTTCAAATATTTCCCATGTATTTGCTGCTAACAACTAAGCAAATACAATAATTTTAAATAATAGCTACAATGTCAGAAGTAGCAACCCCTTCACAAGCCCGTTTCCAGGTGTGATGCTCGCGCCACTTTATTTAATGGTAAACATTGTGTCTGTGCTAAAATATTGCTACCTACCTACCCACACACACGAACATGTGTAGTTATATACTTGCTCTTGCCGTTGTGTGTTCAACGGCTCCTGAGTGAACTAAATAAGGTGTCTGTGGTAATAAATTCTGACTGCAGGCGGGTTGTGTAGGAAAATTTTAATACTTGCATAAAGTGTAGCGATTTGCCAAGGACTAAAACATACTGACGACGGAGCGTTTAGTTGACACGAAGCAGAGTGTTTCGTTTTTGTTTTCTGGTTTGTTTTAAGGAAGCATTTAACGTTGGCTATAAAACAAACTAAGCCATAAAGGTGTACTTTGTCAAATTTTAAGGAGAATCGCCTAAAGGACATGGGTTGGGGAAAGTGCGTTGATTACGTAACATTTTGTTATGCCATTAGAAAAATCACTGACATTATTTTTAGTAATAGTTCTCCAATCGAAACTTTGGTCGTTAGTACGCTGTGGTGTAGAAAATTTGGATATTGTTGTGTTTGGTATTTGACTTTTAAGTCTTTTTTGACATCAAAGGCACCGTCCACCATGAATTGGTACCTCTTGGACAAACTGTCAACGCCAAGTTTTACGTGGAAGTCCTTAAAAGACTCAAACGAAGGGTCAATCGGATTCGACAAGACATCGCAGCCAATTGGAAGTTACACTATTACAACACCCCGGCTCAAATCATATCTCTTGTGAATAGCTAGCTCAAGGTTATTCCGTAGAATGTCTTCCGTGATGCCTTCAGTGCTTGGAAATCGCGCTGGTTGCGCTGCATCGACGCAGAAGGAGCATATTTTGAAAGTTTTTAAAGAATTGTAACTATTGGTTCAATAAAATTTTTTTAAATCGACTCAGTTCTATTACTTTCCGAACTCACCCTGCATATTAGATCGTATCCTAAACGAATTTTTCATAAGGGTTTATCCAGAAAAATTTACACATTACTCAATTTAAATATTCAATATTTCAACAACTTGAGACAACACTCCATCAAAGAACATGGGTTCATTAACTAACAAGCTCCATGTACAATTTAACTATATCCACAAATTTTCCAGAACAAATATATTTTAAATCCTCACCTTTCTGTACTTTTGTTTGTTTGTGGCTTCTCAGGTGATTTCTGGTGTGCCTATCACATTCAGCTGCTGTCTCTTGCAAATCACTCGTGTGCGCTGCGAATGATTAAAAGTATGGCGCCGCGTTGCTTTAGGGGCAAAATAAATGTCATTCCAGCTGGCAGACGACAGGCGTTTAGTGAACAATGAGAAACAAGACCAAAAACAAATCAATTCAATGTCTCAGTGTTTCGTTGCAACCGATCACATTATGAGAAACTACTCATACTCCACTGTAGATGTGATTGCTTATGTGCTCATTCACATGTATTATTTGTACACTCTCATTATACGAGTTCGAGCATACGTCTGGTTGGTTTGCTGTGCGCCAGCTGTGGTGACTGGTAAGTCGTTGACATATGAGGCGACAACTTGAATTATGCTTTTATTGTGCGCCTTTGAATTGTGATTCTACTGGTATCAATGTCCGCAAAAACTTATTTCTGTATATGTTAGTATGTGCCTACATGTGTAAATATATGTCCTAATGGCGCTTTGCACTGGAATTATAAATTAGGTGAAATATTTTGCTGCCTATATTGCCTATATATAATGTATAAATCGTGCCAAGCCATAAGTTACAGTCGAAAAAAAGTGATTAATTTTTTCATGATGGAACTTCTCATCCAACACACAGTCGGCAGAAGGCTGCAGCTTTGAGCCACCTAAATATAAATAGAAACTGGATTAAGTTTATAGCTTCCATTGGGTGCTGCTTCTTGGTACCTCAAATATGTATGTGGAAGTAATGGGCTTAACTAAATGATATCAAGTGAACTACGTAAGTCTATACCTCCAATAGATCGATTTTGAAATTTAAGTCTATATGTTTACAAGAACACTAGAGATCGCAGAAACTTTTGACGGGAAAGATCATGAATAATTGAAGCTGAAGTTAATCAAGGTTAATCAAGGTTAGGAGCCATTTGGCAGTTAAGTTCTGCTTAAAGAAAAGGTTATTTACCGAAAGAAGAAATATTGGTTAAGTTAACCAGAACTTAACTCACATATGGCTGTTAATCAGACATTGAGAAAACAGACCTAAATACATATGTTTACACTGGAGATCGCAGGAACTTTTGACGAATAAGGTCATTACGGACTCGCTAATTTGATCTTTAGGAGGATCTTATTTATTTCAAACATATTCTGAGTGATTATTTTTAAGAGTACTAGGGGATCCAGCCACGCGTTGCTGTGGTATATGTACACTTTACACCATTATTTATATTATAAACTATTCAATACAGTAAAAATTTTATTTACGAATAAAGGCGAAAACGATTTTGTCGGTATAAGAATCCAAGGAATTGTACGTAAGGTTTAATTTTGAATATGTTCATACATATAAATATCGTTGGGAAAACTAACGAATTTAAAGTTGTCCGCTTAATATATTGTACTTAATAAACTTCAACAATTTGCATGGTTAATGGAGACGTCTGCTTAACAGAAATTATTTGTGAATTTTTTTTACCATTCTATCTTCTAAGTTGGTTTGAACTGGACAAAGTGTGCTAAATCTTCTTAAAATCGGTTCAGTAGTTTAAGAATCCGTCGCGAACAAACAACGTACTTTTTATATATATAAAGATATATAGATCACTCGGAAAAGTTGGTCGTGAACAAACCATAGCTTCTTCTGCTGGTAACAGTACCTCAAGTATTAAGGAACTTCTTTGTAAATGTAAATTGTAAATGAGGACCGTTTGAATTTAAGGGTGTTCTCTTTTTGTCGGTTTACATTCAAATACATATATAAGCATATTCTCTATCTTTTTTGAGTTAAAATATCTGGGCATTCCGATGTTTCGATATTATCATCCTAACCACGTTTGTTTGTGAAGTCATTTGCTTTGTTAAAAAATTTGGAATTTTTGTAATTTAGTTTGTGTTG